CCCTCAAGTTTTCCGTCCCTATAAGTTAAATACTGGGATGAATAGATAGCTTACCTCTTAAGCTATAAGTTCAGTACCTCTTAAGTGAACTTAGCATATAAACACACGCGCACGGCACAATCTTCACGCGTGCACTCGGAGCCAAGAAATCACGCTCATCTTATGTAATTCTTTGACCACTTGAGAAGGTAAACACCATTCTAGCATCCTCTTATGTAGATAGATCAAGTCAAGTTCAGTTCTATCAAAGTTCATGTCAAGTAATGTAAGGAAAAGTCATGATGGTTTCGGTTTTGGCTATATTCGGCCGGACCGAGTGATAGTTGGTTCTATTTGAATATAACCGAGTAATTCATGTCTACTTCATCATTTTAAGTCATTATATAATCAGTTTTATAAGATAAGTCGGGACAAGTTGTGATTTTGTCCATGTTTTGGCCTAAGGAAGTCGGCAGCACACGTAGTGCATGCCCACGGGCCATAGTAATTGCCCTCTCGTATTATCTTTTAATATGATCAGAATTGTTCGCGTAATCCTTGTCTCAATAGCCTTTAAATAGTATATAATGATCAGTTTCGTGGGATTGTTCGATAAAAGTTCACGTTTAGTCGAGGGATTGGCTTAAGGCCGATCATGCGCGCACGGAGTGCGTACCTTGGCACTCTATTAATTCAGTGAGCAAATTATGTTAATTTTGAGTCAAATCAGCATGTATAGTCATGTCATGTTATGTTAAGTAAAATTATATTGAAGTTGCCATAGAGAGTCGCCGGACGGCCGACGAGGGTCGGCCGTACTTATGTTGTACACACCTAGCAGTTACAGCGTACCGGCAGTGCGCGGTATAGCGCCGCATAGGGCTAGTACCCGCAACAGGTGACTGTTGGCGATGCGCGTGCGCACGCCAACATCCAGTCATGCACGCCCGCGCAGCGCCAGTCCTTTCCAGCCAACGGTTGTGCGCACGTTCATGGTTTCAGCAGCACGTCGTGGTGTGCAGTAACACCGGAACTGCACCCAGTTACGCGGCAGCCGACGCACATAGTGTCCGACAGTGCCCCAGTTCACGCCCAGCAAGGCCGGCAGTCTCATGCCGCGCCAAGTCACGCCAGCCGTGCCGTGCACAGTCGTGCCCGTGCATAGTCTTACCAACAGCCGCGCCTGCAGCCTTGATAGGCCGCTAGCCGAGCCAGCCGTCGACCGACCGGTCCGGACAGACCGGCGGTCCGGCCAGACCGATTCCGACCGGTTTGGGCCAGTTTATTTAGATTTTAATATTTCAAGTCCCGGCTCAGTATTTCAGTCTCATTTTCATTTAAATTTCAAGTCCAGTCCAGTTCAGTAAATTTATGTCAGTTCAGTTTCGAGTTTATTCAGTTCCGGTTATGCCGGTTAAGTCCAGATATCATGTTAAAGTCCAGTATAGCATCTTAACATATTAAACAATTATTTTATCAGTCTGAGCATAGTATTTAGTAATTGTTTATATGATTTTCAGTTTGTTCAGGATACAGACGATCAGCACTTACATTTTCAAACAAGCAGTTCAGGTAGGAACTCAGACTGGGTATTACATTAGTTATAATTGCTCTATCATGTTTTAAGGTATGTATATCAGTTATTCCACTTTGGGTGGAGGCGCAGTAGCCTTAATTGCCCATCCAGAGTTCTGGTGGAGGCGCAGTAGCCTTTATTGCCCATCAGAGTGTGCACATGGCAGTTCAGTTCAGTACAGACCTCGTGTCTGGAGTTTACAGTTTACAGTTTACTTATATATACCTGCAGCCATGATATTGATATTATTATTAATGTTTACTTTAGTATGAGTTTCTGCGGAGTACAGTGTTTTTGGTACTCACGCTCCCACTATTATCATGTTTTTCAAGTCATGAAGTCGGGACAGAGGAGTGAGATGACGGAGCTGTTTGGGACTATGCTTATAAAGTTTAAATTGCCTAAGCTTTATGCTTATAAATCTTAAATTACGTTTTGTACAGTTTGAATTTGGCATAGCAGTGCCGTTATTATTTTCAGATAACTTGTTTTCACGATCACGGTACTGCTATCCAATTTCACCACTACAGTTTCCGCTGATGTATTTCTGTTCGTCATTCTTAGTCAAACGAATCAGTCGGTGAAATAGTAGTTGGTTTTTCCAACTAAAAGTCCAGATTTTTCAGTCAGTTACGTATTTTAGTAACACTCCGAATCAGTATTTCGCAATGTAAAATGTTTTATATTTTGAATGTAATTGCGAAAAGAACGCTCTGATTTTCATGTCAAGGCGAGGTGTTACAACGGGAAGCTTTTTTCTGCGGCTCGAGCGATGAACCTGCTCAGCCCCGCAATTCGTCCCGTCAGAACTTGCACATCTCTTATATTTCTTGGTGGAGCCATGTCGAGTATGGCTTTCACTTTCACCCGATTTACTTCGATTCCTCGCTCTGTGACAATATACCCCAAGAATTGTCTGGCTTTTACTCCAAAGACACACTTGTTTGGGTTCAGCTTCATCCCGAACGCCCTAAGGGTTGTGAACGTTTCCCTCAAATCGTCTAGGTCTGAGGTTGAAGCCTTACTCTTTACCAAGATATCGTCCACATATTCCTCGATATTTCGCCCAATCTGAGATTTAAACATTCGATCCATCAACCGTTGGTAGGTTGCTCCAGCATTCTTAAGCCCAAAGGGCATGACGACATAACAGTACGTCCCTTTACTCGTCACGAAACTCACCTTACTCTGACCTTCCGGGCACAATGGAATCTGATGGTATCCCTGAGATGCATCCATCTTGCTTAGTAATTCGCAACCAGCCGTAGAGTCGACGAGTTGATCGATTCGTGGTAAGGGATAATGATCTTTTGGGCAGGCCAAGTTCAAGTCACGGAAGTCGATGCACATGCGCCATTTGTTTAATGCCTTTCTTACCATCACAGTGTTGGATATCCACTTAGGAAATTGGATCTCGTTGACATGTCCTGCTCGCAACAACTTATCTACTTCGATTTCAATTGCTTTGTCGATTTCCTCACCATGGCGTCTGAGTCGTTGCTTTACTGGCTTTCTGAGGGGGTCGACGTTGAGCTTATGCTCCATAATAGCGGGGTCGATCCCCGTCAACTCCTCAAGGGTGAAGGCGAAGACATCCCTGAACTCCTTTAGTAGTGTGATGAGTTGGTTTCGCAGCTCGTCTTTTAGATCTTTCCCGACCTTGGTGGTCTGTTCCTTCATTTCTCCGATTTGTATCTCCATTAGCTCCCCGTGCGGTTTGAGATCACTATTTCTTGGCCTTTTCTCGCTCGTTGCCGGCTTCTTTTCCTCAACTTCTATTCGTTGGTTTGTTTTCACAGCTATCTGGTAACAAGTTCTTGATAGCTTCTGGTCTCCTCGGGCCTCCCCTACTTTATTTTCGACGGGGAACTTCAGCTTCATATGGTAGGTCGACACTACCGCTTGGAATGCGTTGAGCGCTGCCCTTCCTAGAATCACATTATAAGCCGACTCGACGTCGACTACAACAAACCGCACCATTTTTACTTTCCTCAAATCGCCTTCCCCGAGGACGACAGCGAGTGTGGTTTCTTCTAGGTGTGCGACTTCTGAGCCATTAAACCCAAAAAGTGAGGTGTGCAGAGGTGCGAGCTCGATGTCGAGTTCCATCCGTTTAAGGCAATTGTAAAAGATCACATTCACTGAGCTTCCCGTGTCGACAAAAATCCTCTGCACTTCATAACCTGATATCTGAGCAGTGATCATTAGAGCGTCATTGTGAGGTCTCTCGACCACCCCCACATCTGCTGGCCCGAAATTCATCACTGGACCGTTTCCCTCAACTTGTTGCACTTCAATTTTTCTGTGGCGGCCTCGAGCATATGCCTTTCTGGCCCGATTTGAGTCTCCATCAGTCGGCCCTCCGAATACCATATGAATTATTCCTCTTTCCTGAGGGAGCTCCTACTTGTCGGGTGTCCTCGCCCTCTTGCGAGGACTCTTGCTTCTCTCCCTTCGCCGACTGGTTCGATCTCGATCTTTATAAACGAACTCGTTTAGATGGCCTGCTTTGATTAGCCTCTCGATCTCATTTTTCAGGTGCCGACATTCCTCGGTATTATGCCCATAATCCTTGTGGAATCGACAATACAGATCACTTTTGGGCTTTGTCGGTCCATCTTTTCTCGTCCGTGGCCACCTGACCACATTTTCGCGAATTTCTTTCTCCATTACCTCCAATATCCTTCCGCTCGAGGCTATCAGGGGGGTATACTAAGTTGTCCTCCATCCCCTTGATCGCCCCTCCCTTTCCGAATTCGGGGATCCATTCCTTTCTCCCGTCGCAGTTGGTTTCTTATCCTTCTTCTCGTCCCGAGACTCAATTTTTGCTTTAGCTGCCTGCAAAAAGTCGGCTTCAGCTTCCTCGACATTCATGTACTTGGCGCACCTTCCTAATACTTCATCGAACGTCCTCCCGTGTTGTCTTGCTAAGGAGTTCCTGCACAATCCCGGGAGTAATCCTCGAGTGAGTCCTCCCGACTTGATTTCCTCAGTGGCTGAGGGGACGTCGACGCATGCTCGCGTGTATCTTGCTACGTAATCCCTCAATGATTCTCCTTCTTTCTGTTGCATGCCTATCAGTGTAAGGTAAGACTTTTCTTGGGCTTTTACACTTGCGAATTGATTTAGGAAACTCGAACTAAATCCGTCAAAGTCCCTGACGGCTCCTGGGGGTAACTAATGAAACCAGTCTTGCGCAGGCCCTCGCAGAGTTGTCCGGAACGCTCGACATTGGACGGGATCATTGTAGCGGTGCAGTACTGTCATGTTTTCAAAACTCCTCAGATGTCGAGAGGGGTCAGTCGACCCATCGTACCAGATGTTAAGTTCTCTAAACCCCTGAGGCAGGTCGGCGTCTAGAATATGCTGTGAAAAAGGGTGTCCCCTCGAGCTTCCTATTTTTCTCCCCTCTACTCGAGCCTACAAATCTCGCACATGCGCTAACAATTGCTCCAAGGTTTCGTTTCTCGCCTGTGGATTGACAGTCCTGACAGAGGATTCCTCTTCATCTGCCCTCCTGTTCTGCCTTTCCTGCGACTGCGCCTGCTGTTCGCGTTCTGGGGGTTGTTGTTCATTTTGGGGCTGCTCGACCCTAGCTTGTTCGATCTAGGCTGCTTGACTCGAGTCTGTTTGATTTGGGCTGCTACAGCTTCGGCAATCATCCTCTGCATCTCGCCTCTCGTCATGGTCAGTGTTTGTTCCTCGATTTGGTGTGGTGGCCTTGTCTCCTGATCAAGTCGTTCAGGCTGCCTCCCCAGTCTCAAAGATGTTTCGGTCGATGCGTGACCATCTGCTTCTCCGCTCGTGTCCTTCAAGTGACTGGCCTCCCCCTGGGTGGGAACTGGGATCTTGACTCCAGGTGGGGTAATAGGCGTTTCTTCTCCCGCACGCCCTCCCGCCGGCGCGTGCATCCCGAACGGTGGAAATCCCATCATCTGGAGCGGTGGTCTGATGCTGGGGATCGGCGGATGTCGCTTGTCGGTCCACGTTGCCCTGAAATCGTCGTTCAAGTTTTTCTGCAATCCTTCCTTCTCAGCCATTGGAGACAGATCAAAGCTAGGTGTAAAGCTCTTAATTCCTTCAAGAACTCCCCACAGACGGCGCCAAATGATGGGTCTATTCTCGGATCTGGGGTGAACCGGTGGAAAATCGCCAAGATATGAAATGAACCAACGAGAACGAGCTCAGATCTGTCTTGATGGTCTCCGAATTGTTATCGAACCGCGAGAACACCTGCAAGAACTCAACGCCGGAGGGATTTCCGACGTAGAGCCTCCGACGCTCAAGTCAGTATGTGAAAAGAGTGAAAAGAGCTGCTCTGAGGAAGCAGCAGCAATGGAGGAGAATGTAGAATGAATGGGAGTTAGGGTTTTGGAGTTACCTCAGCTCCTTTATATAGAAGTAGAACATTCACCTGAAGTCCCCAAAATGCCCTGGCCGACTTACTGGAAATGTCCAAAATACCCTGGTCGGTTCGTATTTTGTCCTCTTCCTAGTCAGCATCTAGATTCTTCCTTATCCCTTAATAGCTTACTTCTGATATACTGAAGTGTATAGGAGTCGTCGGGGATCCGAGAGTCCCGAGTCTACTTCAGTCGACTTGAGACATCCTTGCTTTCGATCCAGCTGGGTCATCCCCCACTCGCTAGTAGACCCTAATACACTCATTTATCCTTCCAGATGGAATCGAATTGAATCTAGTCGACAGGGTAGAAGTCGACTAAGAAAAGCATCCGGACCTTCAGCCGGATGTATTATTATGAGGAGATATGTGAGAGGAGTCGACTTAGGGTAAGTCAACTCGATATTCAAACCGGGACATTGTAAGCCGCTATATGACAGTATGACTATATCAACAGGCAAAGTCCAAAATTCAAACTGTGCACGAGTTTGCATTAGCCTGGGCTCTGATACCAGTTGTTGGGTTCTGTTAGGAACGTCAAACAACATGCACAGTGTTGAACTTTATCGAAAAAAATCCTAACGCAGTGGAATCTATAGTTAGGATATGGACGTTTACCTTTTAAAATTTTTGCCGACTCTGAGACGATGTAGAGTACCGTTGGTGAAGTTCGTCTGAACACCAAAACCTAATGGGCGGATAGGTTTGGCCTTTAATCGATTCTAATCGATAAGTTCCAGGAATATCGATCACACGGCACGCGGGTCTCGGTCGTCGGGTACAGCGGGCAGCTCGTGCGCGTCGGGCGCGGATCGTGCGTGTACGCGGGTCGGGAGCACGGTCGCAGACTGCTGGGGTGATGCGGACGAGTGCTGACAGGATGCGTGTTGCGGACGTGCGGGGAACAGGCTGCGCGGACGGGCGTTGGCAGTCTCGGGCGTGTGCGTGCCCGCGGTGCGCGTCTCCTGTGCCGATGCGGACTAGCGCTGGGCGTCAGGGAACACGCGGCGTGCGGTGCAAGGCAGCAGGGACGCGATCGTGTGGTGCGCGCGTGACGTTCGCGCACTGGGGACGAACAACGGACAGTCGGGTGCCGCAGGGGTCGTGAGCGATGGTCGACTGGCAGCGATCACGATCAGGCATGCGAGCGGTCGCTGCTGGGAGTACGCGGGCGTCGCTGGGCTGGACTCGGCGATGCGCGGCTGCTCGCGGTAGCGTTCGGTTGCGCGTGGATGGGTTCGGTCGGCGACCAGCGGAAGTTGGCGATTTCCGGCGATCACTCACGGCGGCGATAGACGGCGATGATGTGATGATGATGACCAGAAAATATGGTTCTTAGAAAGCTCAATTAATTGTACCAAAAAGCCTTCTAATGGATTACCTAAACACCTATTCCGATTAAACTTGGTGGAGCGTTTAATCGAATCTCCCTAACTCTCAAATGATGTAATTCTCACGTATATGAGATGAGAAAATCGGCCAAGACAACATTGTAGGAGAGGTTGGGACATGGTGTATTTATAGGCTCCATTAGGGACCTTAAGGAGGTGCTAAATATGGGCTTATTCAATTAGGCCTAGGAATCTTAATTCTACTCCAATACTAATTTAATGTAGGAAGGAAATCTCCTACTAATCCTCTCCTTCTAGAAGACTCCTAAGTCTTCTAACAATAGAGAAGATCCTTGTAGGAATATCATTCCTAATTAAATTAATAATCATGGAATAGAATTAATTCCTAATTTAGGATACCTAATTTTACTCCAATTAATAATATATTGTAGGAAATATATTCCCTACTAATCTCCATCTTCTAGAAGACTCCCAAGTCTCCTAATCCCAAGAGAAGATTTTTGTAGGAATTTTATTCTACTAATTAATTAATTAATATGGAATAAAATTAATTCCTATTTAATGGAATTAAATAATAAAACATCCCACTAGAGTAATATTATTGCTCTCCCCATTTAGCCACTATTTTACCAATAAAATCGAGCCTCCATGATTAAATAATATTAATCTGATTGATCGATTTACCTCCCTATGTTTAAGATATAACATCCGTTGATTAATTAAATTACTGACAAAATAATTAATAAACTTCTTATTCATTTCTGAAATTAGTACCACTCAGCCTTTAACCATTATGTCAGACAATCGTCTAACTGCAGGGTTTAACATAATGTTCCTTTCTGAGCTCATTTCGGGGACGTCATCAATCCAGCGCACTGGAACATAGTGACCCTAAATAATCTATAATAGCACATCATATAATTATTCTTACTTACCAAAATACCTCGTATGTCATCCTAACAGAATAGGAATCACTTGGTAAATCAAATAAATAAGAGATAAAAATATATGCCTATTTTATATTATATTACAGCTTAAGAGAATGCATCAATCACTGAAGGGCGAGGTTACAATAACGGTCAGTGAGTCTCATAACCTTTGCCTTCCGCGGTACTGTTCAACACTTAACATAAGTGCTAGTGTAATCCTTCAGTCAAAGACCAACTGAATCGAGAATACACTACAGTCTTTTTCCAAGTGCGGTCTCACTGCCAGTCTAGACTGTGAACGAATAGTTTAGTCTTATAAGGAATCGATAGGTGATCTTTCTGTTCGAAACTCTTCGAACCACACTACCTCAATATAAGACATGGAGTATGTATTGCATAAATAAATAAACTGCAAACATATGTACTTTGACCGAAACATGATTGCCAGATCAAAATGGAATTGATAGAATCTGCAAAACATAGCTTTTACAGCATACCTCTAACAGAATACTGATGCTAAGAAAGCCCACAAGTATCTGAAGGGGCTGAATCAGCGAATTCGCGAGCTTGTTGGGAGCCATGGAGCAATGCCTTATGCCGATACCGTTCTGCGAGCTCAGGAGGTTGAGAGTTGTCTGATTCCGATAGCTCCAGTCCGCTCCTATTATCATGCTTCTCAGACCACTCAGACTGCACCACCACTCAACTTTCAGCCACCTGTCATTCCTCAGATTTCCTATCAGTATCCTGCCCCTTTCACTTCAGCTCCCCCGTCTTCTAACTCCGGCAAGAGGAAGAACGATCAGCAGAACCGTAAGAAGGGCAAGCGCCCTAACCATGGTCCTCGCCATCAGCCTCAGCAGCACCACCCTGTGGCGCAGAATGCCCAACCACTCCGCCAGATTCCAGGAGGGCCTCAGCAGTGTAGGGCATGTGGACGAATTCACGATGCCAACATGTGTCGAGCTGTCGACATCACTTGCTTCAACTGCCAGAGGAAGGGCCACTTCTCCCGTTTCTACCCAGAACCCCGAAGGCCAAACCCGCCGCAGCCTCAGCAGCAGCCGCAGCAGCAGCAGCGATGTAATACCCCATTCGGTTGTGGATTTTTGGAGTTATTATTTATTTTTCCTTGTTATATATTGTCCTCTTAATTGTTATTGTTATTTGCTAATGTGATTATTATTATTATTATGATTATTATTATTATTATTATTATTATTATTATTATTATTATTATTAATTGTCTAATTGTTATTATGTGTTTAAATGCTTATTATTAAATAAATATTATTGTGTGTATTACAGATATTATTCGGTTTAAATTGTCGTCGCGATCGTATTCGAGCCTTTTTCCAAACTAGTCTTATGTTTAAATCCCAGCCCAATTTATTAAACATTTCAGCCCAAATGATATTAATTATGATGGCCCAATCTTTGGTTATTTTTAGCCCAAAGGAATTGAGAAGGCCCAAATTTTGTACTCTGCTCCTTCTTCTTCTCCCTCAACGACCCAAAATCTGCTCCTCTTTCTCCGCAGCGACCAGGCCCTCCCAACAGCTCGAAAATTGGTTGCGATTCTCTCAGAAATCCTTTCGCACGTTCTCCCTCGATCCCTCCCTCTCGCCTATATCAGTTGCAGCAGCTCTATCTCTCCCTCAATCCCTCTGTTCGTTGCTTTCAAAAAAAAAAAAGGAAAAATCAAATCAGTACCTGCAAATTGCCGCCGCTGGGCCATTCTTCCCCGGCGACCAGCTGTTCGTGGCCATCGCCGTCGTCCCTCCGAGTAACACTCTCAGTCGCGCACCAGGCCCGTCCAGTTCCAGCAGCCCGGTCGCTATCCATTCCGGCGACTTTAAGCTCCGCCCACCATTCTTTCCGGCGAGTGTCCGGCAAACTGCTAGTCTCTGTTTCGCAGCGAGCCTCGGTCGTCGTCCGTCGTGAGGAGCTTCTGTACGTGGACATCGTTTGCAGTCAGCACCCGGTCCCGGCCAGCAGCCTTAGTCCGTGCGTACAGTTCAGAGTCCCAAAGCCGGTTGTTCGACCTGCTGTCGGGCCCGTTTCCCGTCCTATTACTCGTAGTTTCCCGAAGACGGGTAACATATTTGAATCCTCTCGTAATTCCGGTCGTTTTCGTATATTACATGATAGATTTATACATCATATGTGCTACCGAATTCGCGTTTGAAATCGGATTTTTAGTTTGGTTTGTTATTGTTTGTTGATTGTTCGTATATTCGTGGATTTTCGGGAATGATTGAAACTCTCGATTTCATAAACGTGAATACCGTTGTGTTGCTGCGTTAAATGTGCATAAGTTCGGAGTCTTGTTTTGTTGTTTCGAGTCACCGTTAGGTTGTTCAGGTCATTCGAACCCCCGGTCGTCCTTTTTGTTTTTATATTTGGTTATTCCGTTTTCGAGCCAAAAATTGTTCTTA